TTTTTGTTGTTCTGCATTATTTCCATGCCGGCATGTCCCCAAGCTATCCGCTAACCTGGATTCTGGTCCCTTTGGAACAGCGCTCAACTGGCCGCGCAATTGTTTTGCACAATACTGTTCGTTGTTGGAAAACCTGTTGCGCAGAACTCCAGAAAGCCGCCTGCTTTTGCACGTGGCGTCGGCTGATGCCCCTGTACTCTCTTTGGGGCATGGCGATCACACCCATGCTGTCCACTTCTGTGCGCCTGGTGCCACCCAACCACTCCTCCCTGTCACGCCTGCTTCATTTCTTTATCTTCTTCCCTGTTGCTAACCTGGTGGCTGCACTGACAGGGCTCCCACGCCAGGCAAGGGGACGCACAGCACAAGACGCAGCCAGCTAGACAACAGCCTGCCACGGTGCCATGCCGGAATGTCGGCATATTTGAGAGTCAGCAGCAGGCCACGAGCAGAAGTGCTGGCGATGCATGCAGCTGCAATACCGGAGAGCAAGCAGCAGGCCATGGGCAGCAGCGCTGGCGATGCATTCAGTTGCCGTATCTGGGAGTCAGCAGCAGGCCGTCAGCGGCAGCGCCAGCGATGCGTTCCGTTGGTGCGATCATCAGAGCGGGGTGCTGGCAGGCGTCAGGTTGGTTTCCCCCCCGTACATGTGGGCTTGGGCTGTCTGAGTGGTCATTGAATACTGGAGGATGGTATGCCGCCCTCATGCAACTTTGTGTGGCAGGGCTCAGGGCAGGGGCATAAACTTTCTGTTGTTCTGTATTATTCCCATGCCAGCATGTCCCCAAGCTACCTGCTAACCTGGATTCTGGTGCCTCTGAAACAGTGTTCACCTGACCGCGCAATTGTTTTGCACAATACTGTTCGTTGTTGAAAAACCTGTTGCGCAGAGCTCCAGAAAGCCGCCTGCTTTTGCTCGTGGCGCTGGCTGATGCCCCTGTACTCTCTTTGGGACAAGGCGATCACACCCATGCTGTCCACTTCTGTGCGCCTGGTGCCACCCAACCACTCCTCCCAGTCATGCCTGCTTCATTTCTTTATCTTCTTCCCTGTTGCTAACCTGGTGGCTGCACTGACAGGGCTCCCACGCCAGGCAAGGGGACGCACAGCACAAGACGCAGCCAGCCAGACAACAGCCTGCCACGGTGCCATGTCGGAATGTCGGCATATTTGAGAGTCAGCAGCAGGCCACGAGTAGAAGTGCTGGCGATGCATGCAGCTGCAATACAGGAGAGCAAGCAGCAGGCCATGGGCAGCAGCGCTGGCGATGCATTCAGCTGCCGTATCTGGGAGTCAGCAGCAGGCAATGGGCAATAGTGGTGGCAAAGCATTCGGCTGGCGTACGTGGGAGTGAACAGCAGGCAATGAGCTGCAGCGCCAGCGATGCGTTCCGTTGGTGCGACCATCCGGGCCGGGTGCTGGCAAGCGCCAGGTTGGTGCACCCCACGTACATGTGGGCTTGGGCTGTCTGAGTGGTCATTCAATACTGGCAGATGGTATGCCGCCCTCATGCAACTTTGTGGCTGGGCTCAGGGCAGGGGCATAAACATTTTGTTCTTCTGTATTATTTCCATGCCGGCATGTCCCCAAGCTATCCGCTAACCTGGATTCTGGTGCCTTTGGACCAGTGCTTAACTGGCCGCGCAATTGTTTTGCACAATACTGTTCATTGTTGGAAAACCTGTTGCGCAGAGCTCCAGAAAGCCGCCTGCTTTTGCACGTGGCGCTGGCTGATGCCCCTGTACTCTCTTTGGGACAAGGCGATCACACCCATGCTGTCCACTTCTGTGCGCCTGGTGCCACCCAACCACTCCTCCCAGTCACGCCTGCTTCGTTTCCTTATCCTTTTCCTGTTGCTAACCTGGTGGCTGTACTGACAGGGGCTCCCGCGCCAGGCAAGGGTACGCACAGCACAAGACGAAGCCAGCCAAAGAACAGCCTGCTGTGGTGCCTCAAGACTGCTGGGTGTTGACAGTTGTGCTAGGAGACGATTGTGGCATGCAAAGGAGCCATGTGGATGTGCAGAATGTGGTGGGAATGCAATGTGGGCCCGTACGTTGGGGACGCGGTGATGGGTGGCAGTATGACTCTAGTGGAAAACATGTGAGTGTGCTTGTATGATGTGCTGGCCATGCATGTTACGCACGCTCCCTTTTCTAGCTGTGACAGTGTCCGATAATCTTCTTGTGTGTATGGGCCATTGTGGGCGTAATGCCATGTTGATGCCAAAGTATTTGATATGCAGCCGGGTTGGCCAAATCTGTCATACGTGCACCTGCTATACAAGAGCACCGACGGGACAACGCTCTTGCACAACGTTGTTAACGTTGTTCGTACTCACCTTCCCGCGTAGATTCACTGCTGGGACGCGGCGAGGATCCACTTGCTTCCAGATGCAAGCATCAATGGATTGCCGCGTCAAACTGTTGGCGACACGATCAATAGAGACAACACTGTGCGAAAGGTCGTCACAAGTCCAACCGGTTGCCCCTGTTCGAGCCCTGCCTCAAACGCAAGGTCTCTTGCTCAAATACCCGTGCTACACTAGGTTCGACGCAGCACAGTACAAGGTTCCGTACATCCAAATTCACACCTTACATCCTCCATCTTCCATTTTCTGCGGTCAGTCTCACGGGTCACGCAGGTCAATCGGTCACCAGTGTCCTCTTATTCTGTTCTTATCAGAATGGACTGTCTCCCACAGGACCTTCCTACAGCAACTTCGTATTCCACAGGGCTTGACGCAGCACAGCACAAAGTTCCGAACATTACCGAAGTTCGCACCTTCCTGCCCATTTACTTTCCATCTTCCAGTTTCCACGGTCAGCCGCACGGGTCACGCGGATCAGTGGGTCTAACAAGTCAGTTGGTCCCCCCTACGGAGACAGCCCTCGCATATTCTCCAATCATAATAGAGTGTTTCCCGCAGCATCCCGTGCTAATCTGAAGGAGACACCGACACGGCACACTTGAGAACTCACGTTGCCTCAAGTTGTTCACCTGAATTTCCTTTCCCATCACATTCACACCTTCAATTATCATTGCCGCAAGGCTGTCCAACTAATCTGTCGAGACATCGGTGCGCTAGAAATGTGAGTGGGGAGTCATCTTCCTAAACCAAGTCTGACGCTCTACTCAAGTGCCCAGTCAAAGTCCCTGGAGAAACATTTACATTTCAATATGTTGCAAGCATACACCATTGGTGTAGTTGAACGATAAACTACGGAATTTTCCAGAATTGACGAACGAAACAATGTTTTTCGAGTTTTCTTAGTGTGACTCTCCGGCATGTCAGAAGACAAAGAATGCCACAATCTTGCGGTCGGGCCGATCATGTCTTTGCGTCAAGGTCTACAGGGAGTGTTACTATGGAATATAGCAATTCATCGTTCAAGGACTACGATGAACTATGAAGACAAACGTCCAGTTGTTCAGGGAGTGTGTTTCATGGGACAGAACAAATATCATGCAGTGGCTATGATACCTTTACAGCACATATTACGTGACGACCTGTCCTAAAACCAATATTATTCTCTTTTCAACAACTTCATTGGCCCTTGCAAATACTCACCGTAACAGGACATCTCATAAGCAGAGACTAAACCCTTTCGGGAAAATGATGACTGCCATAGATGCAAGTCTTAAATCAGGCCATCACACATCCTCTCACTGGATTTTTGTAAAATTCTTAAACATCTTGGCAGCTTTTCCCCTATACTTCAATGTTCTTGTTTGCAACCTTGTATTTTCTCCTTTTGTTGTCTTTTCTTCTTCCTTGACTGCAATTGGTGCAGCTCTTCTGGGTGCTTATAATGCCTAGGCACAGCCCTCTCATTTTTTGGCATTATTTCTTCGTGCAATTGTCCTTGTGGCATACTGGGGCCATCCTACGCAGTGAGATCATCGCAACGGTGTGCACAACATACAGCGAAATATAAAATTGCATAAATGGCCACCACTAAGCCAGCCATTATGTGGGAATATAGACAATATGTTGTATGCCACGAATATTTGAGCAGTGCACATGTCTGTCTGAATGTGCTGCAAAATATTCTTGTGGGCAATCACTGAATCTGATGATATGTGCACTGATGCCATCAAACCCTGTAACTTTGCACCAAGTTCAACTGCAAGCTTTATTGCTGACAAGAAATAGATCATTGCCGTTACTGAAGGCTGCAATGGAGAGCTGCACGTTGTTCCCATCCCAGATCATACTTTGGATTCGCTAGGGCCTAAACGCTCACAAGGGCCAGACAGAGTTGAGCCCAACACAGAATGGTTGCACAAGTAACCAGGACATTATCCAAGCACATGTTGTTTCCAGTAATGTCAGATATCCCATTGTGAGATGGCCTACAATGCATCAGCCCGGTGACTGTATGACCCTGTGTCTCTTTCTGTCAATGGCCAGATCAGGTCTCGCTGTTACTGGTTCTGTGGTGTTCGAGCAGGGCTCATAAGACTCTAAGCAGGTGGCGCTGGCCCACATCCGATAGGGTGAGACTGGTGCAGCACGATGCCCTGTCACATGGCCTTCTTTATGCACATCTGGCACAGCAGCCCTCTGGAGAGGAGCACGAGTCCAAGATGGAATGGTTACATGTATACCCAGCACATCATACAAGCACAATCACATGATTTCAGCTGGCATCAGAGTAGCACCCATCACTGTGTCTCCAACATAGGGGTCCAGAATGCGTTCCCACCACAATCTGTACATCCACACATGGCTCCTTTGCTTGCCACAATCGCCAATCACCACAATTACCAATACCTGGTAGTCTTGAGGGGCATTCTGTGGCCTCCATTCTAAGACGAATAGCTACCATACTCGGAGTGGAACTGGTGCTTGGAGCAGCCAAGGACCGCCTTAGGTAGATGAATCCCACAGCCTCTGACAGTGTTTTGTTCGTACCTTGCCCCAACGATGTCTCATTTGTACACACGCTAAATCATTTCATCTTTAGCAAACATGCTGACTGAACAGGTAAGAGCAACTACCCGGCATGGCGCTGTGGCAGGCTGTTCTCTGGCTGGCTTCGTCTTGTGCTGTGCGTACCCTTGCCTGGCGCGGGAGCCCTGTCAGTACAGCCACCAGGTTAGCAACAGGAAAAGGATAAGGAAACGAAGCAGGCGTGACTGAGAGGAGTGGTTGGGTGGCACCAGGCGCACAGAAGTGGACAGCATGGGTGTGATCGCCTTGTCCCAAAGAGAGTACAGGGGCATCAGCCAGCGCCGCGTGCAAAAGCAGGCGGCTTTCTGGAGCTCTGCGCAACAGGTTTTCCAACAATGAACAGTATTGTGCAAAACAATTGCGCGGCCAGTTGAGCACTGTTCCAAAGGCACCAGAATCCAGGTTAGCGGATAGCTTGGGGACATGCCGGCATGGAAATAATACAGAAGAACAAAATGTTTATGCCCCTGCCCTGAGCCCAGCCACAAAGTTGCATGAGGGCGGCATACCATCTGCCAGTATTGAATGACCACTCAGACAGCCCAAGCCCACATGTACGTGGGGTGCACCAACCTGGCGCTTGCCAGCACCCGGCCCGGATGGTCGCACCAACGGAACGCATCGCTGGCGCTGCAGCTCATTGCCTGCTGTTGACTCCCACGTACGCCAGCCGAATGCTTCGCCACCACTATTGCCCATTGCCTGCTGCTGACTCCCAGATACGGCAGCTGAATGCATCGCCAGCGCTGCTGCCCATGGCCTGCTGCTTGCTCTCCGGTATTGCAGCTGCATGCATCGCCAGCACTTCTGCTCGTGGCCTGCTGCTGACTCTCAAATATGCCGACATTCCGACATGGCACCGTGGCAGGCTGTTGTCTAGCTGGCTGCATCTTGTGCTGTGCGTCCCCTTGCCTGGCGTGGGAGCCCTGTCAGTGCAGCCACCAGGTTAGCAACAGGGAAGAAGATAAAGAAATGAAGCAGGCATGACTGGGAGGAGTGGTTGGGTGGCACCAGGCGCACAGATGTGGACAGCATGGGTGTGATCGCCTTGTCCCAAAGAGAGTACAGGGGCATCAGCCAGCGCCACGAGCAAAAGCAGGCGGCTTTCTGGAGCTCTGCGCAACAGGTTTTTCAACAACGAACAGTATTGTGCAAAACAATTGCGCGGTCAGGTGAACACTGTTTCAGAGGCACCAGAATCCAGGTTAGCAGGTAGCTTGGGGACATGCTGGCATGGGAATAATACAGAACAACAGAAAGTTTATGCCCCTGCCCTGAGCCCTGCCACACAAAGTTGCATGAGGGCGGCATACCATCCTCCAGTATTCAATGACCACTCAGACAGCCCAAGCCCACATGTACGGGGGGGAAACCAACCTGACGCCTGCCAGCACCCCGCTCTGATGATCGCACCAACGGAACGCATCGCTGGCGCTGCCGCTGACGGCCTGCTGCTGACTCCCAGATACGGCAACTGAATGCATCGCCAGCGCTGCTGCCCATGGCCTGCTGCTTGCTCTCCGGTATTGCAGCTGCATGCATCGCCAGCACTTCTGCTCGTGGCCTGCTGCTGACTCTCAAATATGCCGACATTCCGGCATGGCACCGTGGCAGGCTGTTGTCTAGCTGGCTGCGTCTTGTGCTGTGCGTCCCCTTGCCTGGCGTGGGAGCCCTGTCAGTGCAGCCACCAGGTTAGCAACAGGGAAGAAGATAAAGAAATGAAGCAGGCGTGACAGGGAGGAGTGGTTGGGTGGCACCAGGCGCACAGAAGTGGACAGCATGGGTGTGATCGCCATGCCCCAAAGAGAGTACAGGGGCATCAGCCGACGCCACGTGCAAAAGCAGGCGGCTTTCTGGAGTTCTGCGCAACAGGTTTTCCAACAACGAACAGTATTGTGCAAAACAATTGCGCGGCCAGTTGAGCGCTGTTCCAAAGGGACCAGAATCCAGGTTAGCGGATAGCTTGGGGACATGCCGGCATGGAAATAATGCAGAACAACAAAAAGTTTATGCCCCTGCCCTCAGCCATTCCATCTGCCAGTATTCCATGACCACTCAGACAGCACAAGCCCAAATGTACGTGGGGCCCACCAACCTGGCGCTTGCCAGCACCCCACTTTGATGATCGCGCCGACGGACTGCATTGCTGGCGCTGCCGCTCACAGCGTGCTGCTGACTCTCGGGTATGCCGGCTGAATGCTTCGCCAGCACTGCAGATCATGGCCTGTTGACTCTCAGATATGCCGGCCCAATGCATCGCCAGCACTGCTGCTCATGGTGTGCTGCTGACTCTCAGATATGCCCACTCTCAGGTGCGGTGCTGTGGCAGGCTGTTGTCCGGCTCACTTCCTCTGGTGCTGTGTGTCCGTTTGCCTGGCGTGGGAGCCCTGTCAGCGCAGCCACCGAGTGAACAATAGGGAAGAAGTTAAAGAAACGAGACAGGCATGATCGTATGGAGTGGTTGAGTGGCACCAGCCACACAGAAACGGAGAGCATTGGGTATGATTCCCCCTGTCCCAAAGAGAGCATGTGGGCATCAGGCAGCGCCATGTGCAATGCTTGCGGCGTTCTGGAGTTCTCCACGTCGTGCTCTCCATCAACACGCAGTATTGCACGGTCAGGTGAGCGCTGTTTCCAAGGGACCAGAATCCAGGTCAGCGAATAGTTTGGGGACCTGCTGGCAAGGGAAGAACACAGAACAGCAAAAAGTTCATGCCCCTTCCCTGCACCCTGCCACAAAGCTGCAAGAGGGTGGCATTCCATCCGCTAGCGTTTGGTGACCACTCAGACAGCACAAGCCCAAATGTACGCGGGGCGCACCAACCTGGCGCTTGCCAGCACCCCGCTCGGATGATCGCGCCGACGGAGTGCATCGCCAGCACTGCTGCCCATGGCCTGCTGCTGACTCTCAGATATGCCGGCCCAATGCATCGCCAGCACTGCTGCTCGCGGCCGTGCCCGCGCACTCTCGTCGTCTTGCCTTGCTCCCATGGAAATAAGCCAATGCGTGAGTCGGAACGCATGGCACCCCAAGACACACTCTTCGCGACTCCGTCACTCGCCTAGTCCCCCAAGTGAGCTGCCGTCCTCCAGTCGTTGCGTGGGCCCCTACTTGCCGACGGCGGCAGCAGCATGGGCGGCATGGGCATCGCCTCGGAGCGCCTTCAACAGGGCCCCAGAGCGGCGGCATGGGCGGCATGGGCGGCATGGGCATCGTCTTGTAGCAGCGTCTTCGACTGGACCCCAGAGCGGGGACCCCATGCGGTGGTTGGGCCCTGCCGCAGCGCAGGGCGCAGCAGGGACGGCGGGTGCGTTGGGCGGCGGCGTTATGGACCCGGCGAGGACGGCCGTGAGTTTGAATGGGCGGGCGCGTTTGAACGAGTTTCTGGCAGGACTGATCGGTGGGGGCATCAAGCGCAGGGGCAGAATGCTGACGTGGTTGATGGGCACCAGCAACTTAGCGGACTGGATATAGTATTGTCCTAGAGGTGGCAGGGGTTCCCAGGGCCCACTCGTTAACGGCCAGATGCCCTTCAGGGTGGTGGTTCCCGTCCGTGTGACAATTCCCCTTGCGCGCGTCTGGGGTCAGGCGCCGCGCGTCTGCCTGGGCACTCGACCGGCAGCAACGCGGGGACCGCCATTGAGGCAGTCGCGCGATGGCCCACTGCGTGCCAGGCTCGAAAAATTCGGCGGCTCGGAAACCGCCATGCCGCCGGCGGTCAGCTTTGCGGAGCTCAAGCTGCGGCAGGACCTTCTGGAAGCGATGCAGGCGCACAGCATGTTCACCCCCACCGAGATTCAGGTGGAGCTGATTGCAGAAGCCACCTGACCGCTGTTGAGCTTCCCGCAAAAATTGTGAGCTCATCAGGGGGGTACAATGGCATGCAGCGAGGGTGGCGGGTGCACTCAATACTGAGCCCATGGTCTGGATCACAACTGCATTCTCGAAAGACCACATCACCGATTGGATGCATTGACACAGAGGCAACCTTCCTGTGCATAATCAGTCTCGAATTTGGTGCCTGCTTCTTAACTTTGGTTTGGAGTTGTGGGGCTGGCAGACCCAGGACCATGTGCGCTCATCCTGTGCTTCAATCAGTTGCAACAGTAAACGTTGCTTGCTCTGTTGTGGCAGGCAAAGGGAATACGTGCCATCCTCAGTGGACAGAACGTCGTGCTTGCCTCTCACACAGGCTCTGGAAAGACGCTTGCGTACTTGTTGCCAGTGGTGAGATGCAAGAGGGACCCTGCGGCTTGCGTGCAGCATCGGTTCTCACAATCTGGCTGAAATCATGGGACCACAACTCTGTTTGCAGATTCACCAGCTTAAGAGCGAGGAAGAAGCAGGACACCCTCCTGCCAAGAGTAGAAGGCCAAGAGCTGTGGTCCTTGGCCCCACCAGAGAGCTGACAGATCAGGTTGGCCTCTGCTCAGTCACTCAAAGACCATGGCAGCATTTGACAAGGAATTGCAACTATGACCTAATCATGGCAGCTTCCTTTGGACACATCGATGGTCTTTTCTCGGTGGTTTTGGCTATGGAAGCAGGTGGGATCAGTCGCAAGTTGGCCTGGTGCTGTCCACAGAAGTTGTGGCTTGTCTGGATGCCATTATACTGCAAACATTTGGAGCAATTTGCAGCAACAAGGCCACGCCAGCATGCCAATTGCGCATGGTAAATTGCCAGCACAAGGATTCCTTTCGTGACCAGGAAGTGGCTGCAAGCCACGACGAACAGGTTTTTACACTCGTATTCTGCATTTGACATTGTGTTTGTGCTTCAACCATAATCGTTGAGCGCCCATCTTACCCGTGCTCTTGTCTTCTTTTGCAGATTCTTGCAGTCACCAAATCTATAGCACATCATTCTAAAATCCGCTCAACCAGTCTGAATGCTGCCCAAAAGTGAGTGATGATGAGGTTTCCCAGGTATTGTGGAATAAATGCATTCTCAACCTTCTCACAACAATTGCATTAGGACATGCTCACGGTTCGTTTGCACTGATGTTGCGACTTCAGAACTGGCTGATGACAAATATCACTGATGTGTGGACTGTCCTTATGGTGCCTCGAAAGCAGGTTAAAAACTCAGAAGGATCTACTGAAATTACCACAAGATATTGTTGTCAGCACACCATCACGGCTAGTTGAGCAATGCAAAGAAGGCAACATCTTCTTTGGAGACATCCACTTCCTGGTATGTTTTCCTTCTTCTAAATCTGAATATCCTTGTTGTTGATAGGCCATCCGATCATGATTCACATGCAGTTTGCGGTAACGTCAAGGTGCACATCAACTGGTTTCCATCACAAATTGTACATCCCATATGTGCAAGTACAGCAGAATTCTTTTGTTTTAATATCAGGCGTTCTTCACTAATGTTGGTTTCATATTGCTGTGAGTTCCTGCTTGCCATTGGAAAAGCCTAAGGACAGCTTGCTATTTGGTGATTGCAGATCTTGGATGAAGCGGACACAATGTTTGATGAAGGGTTTGGACCAGAGGTAATCAATTGGGGCTGTTGAGCTGCTGATGAATTTGGAGATTGGGTGTGCAGGCAGGTCGATTGGTAACTCGTGTGTGGTTGACTCACAGGCTGATGCCTTTCTGCCACTTGCAGGTTTTAAAGATAATCCACATACTTAATTCTAAAGGAACGCCATGTCAGTTCATCCTTGTGGCTGCAACGATGACAAAGGTGGGAGAATCGGCCTCAGCAGCTGATGATGGTTGAAGTTGTGTTGCACCTGCAGTGCAGGTCCTGCATGCAAGTCGTTTGACAACATTTGTCAGAGTGACATTTTATGGCTCTGACAACCGCAGGCGATTTCAGGCATATGGCTGCACAGAGAGTGTCCAGAACACAGTCTTCGCAGATGTCAAAGTCTGAATTGAATCCAACTGCAAGCTTCTGGGGGTGTTTTGTAACTTGCATCTTAGCCCACTGTGTTTGGCTGTGTTGTCAGGGTGTGCGCAGGCTGGTTGATGATGTGATCCCTGACATGCAAATGATCACCACCAGTTCATTGCACAAGGGAGTGGCTGGCGCCCGACACAACTTCAGGACTCTGCCACAAGGTCACAACAAGCTGAACTTGCTACTAGAGGTGGGCTACGCGATTGGGCTCGTTTTGGTTATCCATCACTGAACTGGTGCTTGAATGTTGTGTTCTGGAGATTGGCATTGGAGGGGCACCACCCAGCCAGATTTCCAGTCATTCGTGAATTGACCTTCAAAGGTTAGAACTGCGCCCACTCTCCCACAGAGAGTTTGCGCTGGCAAATTGCATGATAGCTGCGATGAACTAAACGACTTAGTGCAGCATCGCCTGGAGCGGTTGGGCAGTTGCAATGGGATTGGAATTATGCAACAAGCAGTGGTTTCCTCTACTCACAGTCGACCAGAAACAGCACAAATTTTGTCCAGCGTTGGACTTGTGTTGTTGCATATGTCCAACAGTCCTACTCCGCAGACTCACCAAAGCACTGTGCTCTTGCCAGGTGTTATCTGGATCTGTTCGGAAGCAAGAGAAAACTATGGTGTTCTGCAACACGCTTAACAGCTGCCGGGCTGTGGAGCACGCTCTGAGTGAGGAAGGAGTTGCAACCTTGTGCTACCATGGGGAGGTTCCTGCGAACAAGAGAAAGCAAGTGATAGAAGAGTTTGGAAAGACGGCCCCCAAAGCTGGTAAGAGCATCCTGGATGAAGAGAATCGATGGCAATATGCTCATTAGGTTCTTTGCGTGTGGAGCATTCGGAGTGGAAAATAGCAGCCTTGTGCTTTTTAGGCGATGACGAGCAGCGAACTTGTGCAAATGGGAGAGTTGGTCGTGAATTCGAGTGAACAATGTGCTATTGCATGTATGTTACAGCAACTGAAGCTGGTTGGTGGAGATAAGGCAACTGTTCTTTGCTTGCAATGCCAACACGTTGTTGTGTTTTGAGTACAGCCGACGACGGGGAGTATGGGGACCAGGGGGCAGCCAGCCCAAATGTGCTGGTCTGCACGGATTTAGCCGCGAGGGGCTTGGACATACCTGGACAGGTTGAACACATAATCAACTTCGATTTTCCGCTCACCTCAATAGACTACTTGCATCGGAGTGGCCGCACAGCACGCGCTGGGCGGACAGGAACAGTGACATCGCTGCTGTCCACAAGGGATCGGAATTTGGCTCAGCAGATAGAGCGAGCCCTACAAAAGAACTTGTCCCTAGACACTGTGGCTGTGACAAGGAGTGGCCAGCCACCTGCCAGTAGGTGCGAACTTTTGGCGACATTCTGTGGATCGCTCAATTAAGTGTTCCATTGCAGGCTGTCACCATTAAAGCCCTGCCTTCCTGCATTGACTCAAAATTTTTGAAAACCCTTAGTCACCACTCGTCCTTTTACTGTGTAGCAGAGTGTCCCAACGAAGTCAATGCCCAGGCTTGCCAACTCAAGGAAATTACGAGTACCTGTGCTGAAGCTTGTGCACTGGATTGCTGTCCTGGACACCACAATTTTGGACAAGATCATTTTGTCCTGGAAGACATCCTCTGATGCTCAGGGTCAGGGGCTTTGCTTGCTGCTGTCATGATTCTGCGCCTAAATGACTTTTGACGGCAATGGAGCAGGAAGAAGAGCTGAAAAAGGCCCTGCGGAGTTTGTATTGATGACTTGCATGAGGGTCTAACATTTGGAAGTTCATGACCCTTGTTGTGCTGCTCTGTGGTGTAGTACACTCATCAGTGTGGTGCGCCACACACACATGCTTGGCTGT